TATGGAAGTCAGGCTTCCTACATGGTGGCTGGCTCCACCCAGTGTTTATGTTCCAAGATAACAGAGCAGAAACTGCTACACTTCGTGATCTAGCCTCAGCATCATTTCTGAAACATTCATTGGTCAAAAGTAAGTCATAGGACCAACCACTGGGAAGCATGGTTAATCTTGGTGCATGGGTTCACGCTGGGCTGGACTCCATCTTGACTGAAAAAAATCCATCTTAGAGGCCTGACTATGACTCCTTGCTTTCAGTATCAAATTAATCTATCTACCATATTGACCATAAAGATTTTATACTTCAAATCTCAAACTATTCTAAAACAAAGAATCAGGTTGTCTGTATATCATTCCATGTGACTCAAGGGAATTTTCCTGTAGATAGCATAATATATGTTGCTGTGGTAGATTTAAACTGCTATTCCTCAAATGCTACCATGTTTTCAATTTATTCATAATATTTTACAATTAATCTTGTTCCTCTTTGATGCAAAAGAAGTTCCATAAGAAAGCCATGTAGAGGTGCCCATAACTAAAAACTGATGGTGATTTATTCTGAGCACCAGCAACTCACCTAACACTATTTTTTTTAATATATATTTTTATTGATTTCAGAGAGGAAGGCAGAGGGAGAGACAAAACATCATGATGAGAGAAACAGTGGGGATTAAGTCCACAACCCAGGCATGCGCCCTGACTGGGAACTGTACCAGTGACCTCTTGGTGCATGGGTTCACGCTGGGCTGGACTCAATCTTGACTGAAAAAAATCCATCTTAGAGGCCTGACTATGACTCCTTGCTTTCAGTATCAAATTAATCTAACCACATCCTTAAAGAAAATATTGTAAAAAACATTCTTCCTTAATTGCCGGGAGCCGGTCCATCCTTGCTCTCAGAACCTATACACAGAACCGAGAACACAGAACCTAGAGACAGAACGTAGTGAGAGAACATGGCAAAAGATCCTGGACAGAAACTGGCAACAGAACCTAGAGACAGAACCTAGCGAGAGAACCTGGCTGAAGAACCTAGAGACAGAACCTGGCTACAGAACCTGGATAGAACCAGGCGAGAGAACCCAACCATGCCGGTCAACTGAACGCTGCCTCCATGTCATTCCTTCTTCGCCGACTCCATCCACACCTTTGGGGACCCCTGGACCTGCTGGGGTTGGACCCCAGCACTTAATATCATGTTCTGCAAAATGGTTGTTTTGTACAGGACTACTGAGTGGTCCACTGACCATGGAAAACATCTATGATTACCCAGGATCAACCACCAGATGGCAATCATGGGACAACTGACCTCATCCTCATTCGCAAACCCTGCACCGACCCCTGGCCCCTATATGAGCATTCCACAAGAAACCTCAGGAAGCTCAACTTCTCTTTTCTGGTTGACTCCCCTGTGCACAAGCTCTTTTCAATAAACTCTATCTGCTTGATCTTGTACTTTTAGTGCACATTTCTATGACATTGAGACTCAAGAACCTGGCATTCAAGGTCTAGTAACAAGAAACCATGTGGCCCTAACCGGTTTGGCTCAGTGGATAGAATGTCAGCCTGCAGACTGAAGGGTCCCAGGTTTGATTCCAGTCAAGGGCATGTACCTTGGTTGCAGGCACATCCCCAGTAGGGAGTGTACAGGAGGCGGCTGATCGATGTTTCTCTCTCATCGATGTTTCTAACTCTTTATCCCTCTCCCCTGCTCTCTGTAAAAAATCAATAAAATATATTTTTAAAAAAAGAAACCATGTGAAAAAACTCATGCTAACCTGCTAAAGACACAAGTCAGCCAGCACCAACCACCAGGAATGTGAGTCAAGCTTTCTATCCTGCTCAAAGTGAGCCAAAAAATGACTGCAGACACCCATGCCAATGACCTCAGGCAAAACCAAGAGAGTAACTGCCCTGCTGAATACACACCAAAATGTTGACCCACAAAATAATGAACAAATAAAATGACTACTCTTTTAAGACACTAAGTTTCAGAGTGGTTTGTTATGTAGCAAGAGCTAACTGATTCAGCAGCCAAGGCTGAGAAGCACTGGTTATATAATTTTGGAGATCCTTTTCTTTCTTTATTATTTATGTTGAGTTTTAAATTTATTATAAAGTAATGGTCTTACATTTTGGAAGCTACAAAATTATCAAGAAAAAAATAAAAAAACAAGCTCTGGCCAGTGTGGCTCAGCTGGTTGAAGGTCATCCCATGCACCAAAAAGTCGCCGGTTCCATCCCTAGTCAGGGCATATACCCAAGTTGCAGATTCCATCCCCAGTTGGGATGGGTACAGGAAGCAACTAATCTCTCTCTCTCTCTCTCTCTCTCTCTCTCTCTCTCTTTCTCTCTCTCCCTCCCTTTTCCCTTCTCTCTACAATCAATAAAAACATATACTTTTAAAAAAACATACACAATACTATATTTTATTATATTATACTATATTATAGAGGCAATGACTGCTGAAGTTGACATGTTTTCTTCTGCTTTTTCCTCTATATTTTTAAAGTATGAACATAATATAGTATAATTTTTATCCTAATTTTTTCACTTATATCATAAATGTTTTCCTGTATCATTCAAAACTTCATGACCACAATTTGTCTCTCTCTCTTTTTTTAATCCTTACCAGAGGATATTTTCCCATTGATTTTTAGAGAGAGTGGGAGAGAGGGGGAAAGACAGAGAGAAATGTCTATGTGAGAGAAACATCAATTGTTTGCCTCCTGCACAAGCCCCGACCACAGACCAGGCCAGGGAGGAGCCTGCAAACCAGGTACGGGCCCTTGACCAGGATAGAACCCAAGACCCTTCGGTGCATAGGCCGACACTCTACCCACTGAGCCAAACCATCTAGGGCTAAAGTCCTTTGTCTCTTTATTAAGAAACTAATTATCTTAAGTACCTAGAAACAGACTTGAACGAAGCAGTGTAATTTCCAGAAAGAACTATTTTATTGCAAATGTGTACAAGCACTAATTTTTCTTTTGTGAGGAAACCCAAATTATTTTTTATATAAATATTTTCTCTATACTGAACACACCTGAAATACTAACACTGCTTTCAGAATAAACAATTAGCAGGCACAGAGCAAGATGGTAAGAAACACTTTATTTTTTAGACTCTTTAGAAGCTCTATTAATTCCTCCAAACTATATATTTGCCATTATATTAATACTTCATTTCACTACTACCTGCAGCTTCCAAAGGAGCCTGTCTTATAGAATTAGGTATGAGAGTACTATTTAGCTTGTTAATTTTTTTGAAATATATTTTATTGATTTTTTTACAGAGAGGGAGAGAGATAGTTAGAAACATCGATGAGAGAGAAACATCGATCAGCCGCCTCCTGCACATCCCCCATGGGGA